CTGTCCCTGCCTCACAGCTCCCATGGGGTCAGTTCCAGCAGTCCAACAGCATTTTCTGCAGCCTGTTCCCAGCCCTAGAGTGTTTACCTCTGTGCTTGCACTGCCAAAGATGTGCCTGTGAAGGGCAGAGAGAAGGGAGAGGGGTCTGGTAGTTGGCTATGGGAGATGTCCACGTGGCAGCTCAGACCCTAGGGGCTCATACTGGGTGGAAGGAGGTTCCTCGGGGTGGAGGTCTTTACCCCCTCTCCCTTGTTGCTCAAATTCAGACTGGGAAGGCTGAGCCTCACTAATGAAGCCAAAGAGAGCAGGAGGCAGAGCCCAGGCCCTTGGGCCACGTATCCTTATCTCCACCAGACAGAGATGCTGCTCTTTGGGAAGGCTTCTGTAACCAGTTTGCAGTGGGGTGCATGGGATAACGGCCATGGGTTAGGACCACCATGTATCATCTTCCACAGCAAACACCCTGTGGATCTGCCAGACCCAAAGGGCTCTGAGCATTCCTCAGCCTTTGGTTCTTTCCTTAAGTCCCAACTGGATGTTACTGCTTCATGCTGTGTGGGCAAGGGTCTTGCAGCACAGAGGAGAGGAAACCCCTGCTCAGACCAGCCCTGGGCTTTGGCAGAGCCTTGGAGGGGCTGGGTGCAGTGCTGGGCTGGTGGTCAAAGCTGGAAGGACTCAAATGACTGTCCGGTTCCTGCAGCTGAGCTGGGCTGGGCTCTGCTGATTTAAATGCAACACTCAAGTGCCTGGAGCTGGAGCCTGCTATGGGTTTGGTGTCTGACAAAGCTGGGCTACGTAACTTGAATATAAAATAAACCCTGAGCCAAAGTTGGCAGCTCTTAAATCAACTTTCACTTGTATTTTTCTGCTGAGATATGCCAGTAAATATTTTTAAAGACAGCTGACAGTGTCTTTGGGAAGATATTCTGTCACATACTACGGAAATCTCGCACATCTTGCAGAGGGCAGGACGCAGATAAGGTCACCCCTCTCCTCAGAGTTTAGGTGGCCACCACTGCTCACCATCACCAATTGCCTCCCACGGCTGTCGGGAGAGCAGCCCAGCAGGACTGGAGGTGCCAAGGAAACTGTGCTAGGCTGGTTAGCGACTTGTATTTGAAAAACCAAAAGGATTTTATTTCTAGTTTGAATTTATCTGGCTTCATCTCGCCACCAAGTCTCGTTCGGCTTTTGTCAGCCAGATTAAAGTTTCATTTCTGGAGTGGGGAGTCTTTTCCTCTTGGAGGTACTTGGAGAGCTCAAGATGCTTTTGTCATCTTCGACATCCTTACAGAGACGACCCAATTGGAGCTCCTGAGCAATGGAGATGGGTCTAATGCCCTCATTCGTCTCTCCCTTCCACCTTCTCTTGCACCACTTCCCTGTCTGGTTTAGTGGGCAGGATGCCTCTAGTCAGGAGGCTGGCAGCTACTTGGTTTTCCAAAAACACTGGAGGAAAACGGCCACCAGGCCTGCCATGATGGCCAGCACAATGAAGGAGACGGCACCTGCCCACAGGCCGGGCTGGTGGCCCTTGATGTGTTCCTGAGCCTCCGTGGGGATCATGTTGGTGAGGTTCAGCATGAAGCCCAGTGTCCAGCCGATGTCCGTGTTTGCTGCCTGGGGTGAGAGAGCAGAGATCACCCAAAAGTGCCTCTCCCTGGCACCGGTAGCTTTGGTGCAAGGGATTGACGGTCACCTCTGCTGTGATTTCACACGTGGCTGTGGGGAACCTGATCTTGTCAGCACCAGTTACAGAGAGCTTTGCTCTGCCCGCATCCCAAGGGCTAAAGGGCAGCTGAACGTGGATGACTGCTGTGCCTCTGTGACCTGCACATGATTTTGGATCTCCTCCCCCAAGATCCTTCAAATTTGGTCATATTCTAGTTCAAATGGGTCATGGGGCCACCATCACCTCTCTGATGCTCAAGTCAATACTGCCCAATGTCTGAGACCAAAGTGGCCAAATCCTGCTCTGCACTTCTCTGACCACCTTAAAATTGGCTTACATTCACAACAGAATAAGTGAGCAATGAGCTGGCATCAGAGGTTTGGGAGCAGGTAGGAGCGAAGCTGTGCTGGGATCACTGGATAGCAGCCATGAGAAGGGGACACGTTCCAGGGATGCTGCTCCCAAATGTGTCCCCAGGCCAGGGCAAGGATGTGGCCCCTGCTGCTCCCCCTGTCCCCAGGACCTTTACCTGCTGCCTGAAGCTGATGCTGCTCCACGTCTGTTCATTGAACTTGTAGCCATCGAGCAGCAGCGTCAAGATGTAGATGGCCACGGAGCAGTACGTTTGTAGGTACTTCTTCTCCTGTGGGAAGGTCTCCACCAGCTTTGGGGCCATCAAGGGGGACACGGTGCAATAGGGAATGAAACAGATGCTCAGAAAGGCTCCCTGGCCCAGGAAACAGCAGGACGTGTGCTTCCTGGGCAGAGATTTGGGATGGGACAAGCACAGGGCTCCTTGCTGCCCTTCACAGGGCTCTCACCTCTAACCAGTTCTTCTTACAGAAGGTCCAGACTGTGGAGTTGACATCGCTTAGAGACTGCTGGCTGGTCAGGTTCAGGAACTGGAAGGTGTAGTAGAACCCAGCGAAGGCCTGGGGGATAAGGGGAGATGGTAAAAACTGCATCTCCTTCCTCAACCAGAAAAAAGACCCAGGGGTCCCTCTTGCCTGGGGACAAAGTCCCAGAGTTCTGCATCCAGCACCCACTTGATGGTCTACCAGAAAGACCTAGAGCTGGTGGACAAGCCCTGGGGCTGCTGCTTGCACTCTGAGCTTGGGACAGGATCATCCCCTTTCCCTCAGGGAGAGCAGGGACATCGCAGGAGGAAGAAGCCACCTCCCACCATAGAAGAGGTTTGCAGATGGGACCAACTCTGGGGTCCCCTCTTTCCCCATCCATTCCCAAAACCAGTGGCAGAGGAGACTCCCACCCTCCATCCTCCCCCACCACAGCCAAGGGGATGGAGGCTCCTTACGAAGAACTGGCCCCGCACGGGCGGCTGATAAACCCCGTCGCACCCGCATGTCCTGTTTGTTGGCCCCGCAGCTGACGTTGAAGAGTTTCTGGACAGCGGTGCTGCACGCCATCGGGTCCCCCGTCCCCGTCCCCGTGAGGACCTGTGCAGGGCTGGGTGTGCTCGGTGCACGGACACAGGGACTGTCGTAGAGGTCTGCCATGGTGATGTTCTCCTGGTATCCCCTGGGGTAGCAGGGGTGCGATATCTGCTGGGGAGATGGGCTGTCCTGGAGAGAGCGGGAGCTGTTAGTGGGGCTTGGCCAATGAGACCCTACCCCCTGCCCATCCTGTGCTTAGACATTCCCAAAAATCAGGACCAAGCCCCTAGGAGGGTTTGAGGGGAAGCAGGGTTCATCCTTTGCATGAAAAACCTGCCCATGGCTTTTGCCTGCCCTGCTGTCAGCTCCACAGAGCTGTGCTGGGGTGGTGATGGCGCTGGAGCCTCTGCCTGCCCATGGGGATGGCAGCCAGCACCCGAGGGCAGTGTGTGGCCCCTGCCTGCACTGAGAGCTCGTAGCTCTTGGCATTTGCTCTGTCTCCACCGCATCTTGCAGGCCCTCACCCAGACAGGACCACTGTGCATCCTGCCTGCATGCCCCATGAGCATCTCCAAATCGCCCAGCGCTGGGCGAGCTGAGGCGGGAGGACACTGGTTAGTGCTGGAGCAGGGTGCAGGTGTGTTGGGAATCCTCTCTCTGGGCAGAAACTGTGTTTAACCCCCATCAACAGCTCTCCATCATGTCTGTACTGAGCTGTGTGAGGTCTCAATCTGCCACATCTGCTGTCTTAGTTAGGCCATAAAGACTGGAGACTCAATAACCTTGGCCAGGAGGTGTCAGGTCATGTCCCCAGGTGACAGGACAAACTGTCCTCTCCTCTCCTAGCTGATGTTGCAGCTCTTGTCCAGTGGAGGACTCAATAGCCTTTTTAACCACTTGTGTTTCAATGAAGCTGATACCTGGAAACCTCTCAGCCAAGGAAACACTTCACATCCATGGCTGAGAGTTCAGGGAAGAACCTAAGGGTACAGCTGGGGTTGGGAAATGATGAAAAATGCCATTACATGGCAACATGTGGGGAGGAGGGAGCCCTGGCAGGGAAGCACCACCACCTTCCACCCAAATGAGAGGATTTTTCGGTTCAGTAGATAAAATCTAAGCTTCTCCCATGTTTCTGAATTCATGAAAAATCCCAGTTTCCTAATGCTTTTGTCCACAGGCATGCCCAAAACTTCTGGAAGACATTTTTCACAGCAATGGGAAATGGCTGAGCAGACCCTGGTGACCAGCAGCTGTGGTACCTGGTGGAGAGCTGCCATCAGCCTCTTCAAGGCTTGTGTCTGCCCATAGCAGAGGTAGCTGTGGGTGTAGAGCGAGTAGTTGGTGCCGTACAGCCTGAAGAAGACAGAGGTGTTCTTGTCCTCGACGGGGACTCCAGGCTGGAAGGTTATTTGTGTTGAGGCGCCTCCAAGGTCCAGAGCTCCCAGAACCTGGGCATCCTGTGGATGCTCCCATTTCTCTGCAAAGGAAAACTGGCCCCATAAGATGGCAAGTGTTAGTCTGAACGGGAGGAAGTCACTGTCCCTGTCCCTTCCCTGAAGGTTTTGTGGGCTCAGAAGCTCCTGAGGGACCTTCCACATCCTGTCTCCCTGTTTAACCTCTTCCTGCCTACATCCTCCTTGACTCACACAGAGCTCCATGTAGCACTGAGGTCTGGCCCCTTGGCTGCTACACATCACCTGGGATCCAGAGACTTTGAGGAGGGCAGGAAGAATAACACATTCACCTGGGGTCTGATATTGCTGCTGCATCCAAAATCGACCCGTAAGTATGTGGAGAGCACAGGTTGAGCTGTACACAAACACTCTTAGCTCTGTTAATCACATCAGTGGAGTTGAATCTGCAGTTTGCAACCACAGGCTGCATTCATTTGGGTGACTAGTGCCCTGAAACTAAGTTTTTCTCTCCTCTGGGAATAAGGAAACCCACCTGTAGCTCAGACAGGGATGTATACACTGTTCACCCCTGCCTCTGCCCGCTTCCCAGCCCACACCTTGACGAGCGTCTCCAGCAGGTAGTTGATGGTGATCCAGCCAAAGGAGCCCTCCTCGTTCCCCGTGAGGATCCGAGCTCCACAGAAGTCCACAGGGTACTCGCCAATGGCCTTGCCCACCTCCAACAGCACCTGCTCGGCCTTGCTGCTGTTCTGCGCCCTGCCCAGGGAAGGAGATCAATACCGTGGGCTGGAGGAGGCAATGGCTGGGCAGCTCTCGGTGCAGGGCTGACAGCAAGACGCGGCCGTTGTCTGCCAAGGAGCGGGGCTGCCCAGAGACAGGGCACAGCCCCATCCACTGCTGCCCTGCCTGTGGGCTGGCTCTCCTGCAAGCTGCCCAATCCCTCAACCTGTGCTTTGGGAATCTCCCTAAAAATGCTGCCTGAGCCTGCGGGAAGGTTAACACCAGTCTGGCAGAGGAGGCTCAACCACCTCCAGGGCTGGTGCTGGAGTGGGCTGGGGGTTCCCCATGGGCATGGTGAGCAACTCTCTTGAACACCCTGATGGGCTGCAGACAGGGATGCTCTGCCCATCCCCATGGCCTGTCTGGGCAGCAGATCCTCCCCACCCCGTGGTCCCACAGCCCAGCCCCCTGCACCGGCTGCGACGCAGAAACGCGCAGTGGGGAAGGGGTCGGAGGTGGTCGGCTCCGGGTGGTTCCTGTACCTCAGCAGCCGCATGCCCGCTGTGGCCCCCAGGTAGGTGGGGGGCTGGGGCTGGTGCTTCTCTGGGACGATCTTCATGGCCTTGTCCAGGCAGGGCTTCAGGCTGGCTCCAGCCCCAGCGGGGTCGTTGGCGTAGCTGGAGATGCCGGGTCCTGCAAGAGGGCACCTCGTGATAGAGCGAGCTCTGTGCTACCCAGGAGGGACAAGGCAGTGGGGAACATGTCCATTCTGAAAACCCCCAGGATTTTTCCCCAGTGTGCCTGGTCTTTTCATACCCTTGCCAAGCATATCCCTGGCAGGGCAGTGCTCAGAGCTGGCCTGCCTGGGTGTAGCATGTGTGCCACGGCCACAGCCACGCTGTGATGCGCATCTCGTGATGCTGAGCACTTGCTTAACCTCAGGGAGGCTGAACTGCCCAAATGTGGCCAGGCAGTCCCGCAGGGCTGGGTCAGCAAACAGAGCAGTTTCTCCTTTCCCTGGGAAGGCACAGGCTCTCCTTCGTCCTGCCGGGAGGACGTGCGGGGCTGATACGCACCCACAGAGGTGCCCTCTGCACACCCTGTTTGAGTTCCTGTATGGGAGGCTGGCACTGGATCTGAGCACCCCGTGTGGTCTGGCGGTGGGTAGGGACAGGCTCCGGGATACAAATACCACTATTTACCTTCCCCCGAGCTTTGCATACCGTTATTGCTGTTAGCCCAGGGTACACTTTGCCCTCTGCCAGACCTCTGCAGTTAACCAGTAACAGCCACACCACCGCAGGGCCTGGACTTGAGGTCGAGGCGAGCTCTGAGCCTCCTCGCCCCCTGCCCGGGTACCTCTGCCCTGGCCTGGTGGCATTTGCCAGTCCCAGCCCAGCTCCGTGTGCCATTTCCCTGATCCTCCCTTCTCTCATCAGCCCGGTCCTTTCCTCCAGAGAGACTGTGCCAAAGCCCGACAGCACCTTTGCAATAGGAATAAATGCCCCTTTGGGTATTTATAAGTGCCCCATTGGGTATTTTAGAATGTCCTTTGGGGCATTTATCATTTACCACACCTGTCATGAACCAGCCAATTTGGCTTGGTGCTGCAGAACAGCCACCCTGGCAAGCACTGGGGCTGGCCAGCCCAACCACGCAGGGCCAGGGGAGAGGGAAGGACACGTCCCAGCACACTCACCAGACACAGCGCAGGCCTCCACCTGTGAGACGATGCCGGTGCCGTTCTCCTTGTCTGCAGGCCACTGGTAGATGTAGAGAGCTGTGTGTGTGGAGCCAGCATCAAACACCAGACCGTACTGGGGGAGACAGAGGGGACATGGGCTGTCAGGGGGTGCTGAGCAGCTTCACCCTGGTGGGCAGAGGAACCTTGAGCAGCCAAATGAAGAGTGTCTCCAGGGTGGGGAAAGTCTGGTGGCATTGCAGTCACCAGCTATGCTGGGTACAAGGCTCCATCACAAGCCCTTTGAGCTGGCAATGCTCTGTGATGAAGAGGACCAGTCTCAGTGACCAAATTCTGCCAGACCCCGCTGCTGTGCCAGCCTGTGCTGAAGGTTGTCCCCATCTCAGTGACAAACACCACACCTTGCCTGAAACCCAGGGACAATCCTATACTGAGGATACCAAAGCAGGCAGCTGTGCTCCTTACAAGGACCCTACCTTGGTGCTGGGTGGCAGAAACACGTCCTTCACGTCCACGACGGCCAGGATGAGGGCAATGATGCTGAAGACACAGGTGGCTGCCAGGAGACCTGCGACAGCCTTGGCTTTGTATTCCATTCCTCCTTCAACCTGCAACAACAGCCACAGTGCCTAGCTCATGCCTCTGCATTTGCAAGGCCAGTTTTGAAATGTGTTAGCTCATGGATGGATAAAGGACCTGTCAAGATGGGACTTTCCCCTTCTCTAACAAGGGCTTGAAGCCATTCTCTGGTGCATGGCTGCTTTTATGGGAGGCTCTTGGCAGTCTCGGGGCTGGGACACTCTCTCCTTCTGAGCACTCCCTTTCTGAGAGGCTTTTTAGCCTGGATTTCTCAGCTCTGCCTTCTCAGCTGCAGCCTTTCAAGCCTCTCTCTGCACACAGCCTGGACCCCATCCCTCTGTCCTACTCAAACTACCAGCTGAGGCGCAGCTCAGTGTCCCCTTTCCCAGCAGCAGCACTGGGGGAAGCACGGTGGTGGTCAGCAGGACCCCCACACCAGAAGCAGGACCATGCCCTGGCAGCAGGACCCCGAAACCTGGAGAAGGACCATGCCCTGGCAGGTTCCCAGTGTGGCCATCCCCTCTGAGGTGCAGAGCCACATCTCTTTGGCACCCACATGCTGCCATCGTACCCTGCACCCTCTCAGGACCTGTCCCATGAGACTTGGGACTATCAGGTCACATATGCTGCCCAACAGGTCCTTGCTGCTCCAGGCAGGGGAACAGCACCTCCAGCCATGTGTCTCCTGCCTGGCCCAGCTCTCCTCGGCTCTTGGGGATGGCACAGCAGGTAAGCAGACAGGCAGGGATGGTGTCCTTGCCTGCAGGTGATCCCCAAGCCTCTCCTGCAGCCCCAAGGGCAGGCAGAAGGGCAGAGGCAGAGCGCTCCTGCCAGCCTGGGCACACACAGCCCCGTGGCCACGCTGGCACATCAACAGTGAGACCGCTGCATGGGCAGGCAATGCCAGCGAGTGTGGAGGAGCCCATGGGGACCTGAGCAGGCCCTGTTGGAGCTCAGCTCCTGGCAGAATCAGCCTAAGGCATCAGTAAGAAACTGCAGCAGAGAAGCAAAGCCAAAGGGTTTGTTTCTCTGCAGTGGCCTCAGCACACAGCAGCTGACACATCAACATGTTCAGCACCCCATGGCTGGTTCAGATGCGCTTTTCTGCACACACAGCTCTCCCTCCTGCACCACCTTGCTCCATGCCACCGTCAGTGTGCCCGTGAGTAGCCAGGCTGACCCCCATCCATGGCACTGGGATCCAGCTGAGCGGTGGATGCCCCAAAAGCCCTGGACACAGCCTAGAGCAGTTGGTTTAACCCAAGTAGTGCTTTGGGGTGGTACATGGGGGCTGTCACTTGGCTACTCAATTCTCCTGGGATTGCATAAAAACACTGAGAAATTCCCTTGCCCTTTCCCCAGGCCAGGTCAGCGGCTTGAATAGGAGAGGAAAGACCCTTTGGCAATGTCAGAGTTGATGCTGATTCCTGTTTTGGAGTGAGCATCTCTGGTGAAAAACACGGGTGAGCAATCTCCTGATGACAGCAGATGTGTAATGATGGATAGCAGCTGTTCCCTTCTGGCCCATGCCACGGGACACAGAACTACAGGAAACCCTTACCAGACGTTATCTTGCAGCCAGGAGCCCTCCCCTGTATGGTGGCTATGGCCAGAGGAGATCATACGGGAGCAGTCTATTAATTCCTGTATCCTCACTTCTCCAGTCCTATCAGCACTGCTAGAGTTTGCCCAGATACAGCTGTGGTGTTGGGATGGGATTCCCCTGCTCCAGGTAACAAAGCAGTGGCAAAAGTCCCAGCCCATGTACTGGAAAACTCTGTCCCAGGAGTGCAATGAAACAGTACGAAATGGTGATGATTGCACCATCCTGCATGTGGGAGCAGGTGGGAAACAAACTCTACCTGCTCTGATAGGGACTACTTTCCATTTTGGCTAGAGGAAACACCCAAAAACAGCACAGAAAAGGCCCAGGAAGGAGAGCAGGGCACAGGGAGGGAAGGAGCCCAGCAAGTGGAGAAGAGATGTGTGAGAAGCTGGTCGATCTGCCCAGCCTTTCCCCTCAGGGCTGCCAGCACTGCTACCCGCTGCCGCACATGGCAGGTTCAGTGTGTGAGCAGCAGGGACAGGGAGGCGGTGGTGATGCCTCCAGAGCTGAAGAAGAGGCACATTGCATGGCTCCACAATGCGTGTCCACTTCAATGTGTGGAAGGTTCACAGCTGTGCACAGGGCTTGGGCCGTTGCGTGCACGACTGGGCGCAACGAAGTGCTCTGCAAACACCCGCGGGACGTCCCCCACCTTGCAGCGTCCCTCGACAGAGGGGGCCTCCACGGTCAGGAGGAAAGGCTCCCAGGCATGGCTGGATCTAAGCTGTCAGTCGCTCAGGAAAATGGGAAGCTGCCTTCCCCACCGTGCGCTTTTAGGATTTGAAAGTCAAAAGGGCTCTTAAGATTATAAGAAAAAGGGTGAGCGTGCATGGCGGGAGCATCTTCGCCAGGCAGAGCAGTCCCCTGCCCCTCTGCCTCTCACCAGTGCTGGGGCTCAGCAGTGACCTCCATGTCCCATCTATGCACTGTCCATGCCCCCTTCGTGCCCCCCTGCCCACCATGGGC